CACCGATAACATCACCATCGCATCGCATCCCAACAAAGACAACAATAACGCTCGTCAGAACAAAACCGTTGAGTCTCGCTGTCCTGCTGTCTGTCTGCTCATCTGTCTGACCCTCCCAGGACATCTTTGTTTCACGTTTCCACTCGTTTCTCGGACACACATCTTGTGTTTTGTCTGATGGTTGAATGAAAAGATGGCAACATTAAACGTTCTCACAAAAACGTGAAAGAAACTCGGAGCTCCGTAACAGCTCGTACGTCTTTTTGCCTCGGGGGGGGGGGGGACAAAAAACTGAGAAAACCCCGAGCTAGGTCAACTCTAATCTTCCTTCTAAAAGGTTTTTTTCTTCTTGTCTTTGACAGAGTAGACACTCGAGCACTAACGAGCATCCTAGGTCAGCTGCCACGGGACTGAACGGTGGAGCTCTGGTGAAAATGCACACGGAGGGACACCCACTCCCAGGAAACGCTTTAAAATACAATTTCTGCACTAAAATTATATTTTAAGGATTCATCTACAATTGAAATTGTGTAAGTTGTCTAAAGGGGCAGAGCAGGATGAACCAGACAGCTGTTATCGGCTGTGTCTCAATTCAGGGTCTGCATCCGGATTCGTCGCCCGGTTACGTCACAGCGCCGCGACTAGGCCTGTCCCAATTCAAAGACTCCTTCAAATGCGGTCGACGAATCCGGCCTTCTATTCGCCTGCAAGAAGGATGGGTCCGGCGTATCCTTCAGTGGTTTACATTTCCCAAGATGCCTTGCGGGCCGGACGGCAGAACTCTTAAAAACAATGGCGGACAGTGAAGCGGGAGCTGTCGGAGAGGATTGAGCATATAAATGTCAGTATAAACCTGAAAACTGTTAGGTTAAGGACTTTCTGTGATACATGAACGTTATTTTAGTTAGAAATGTTACAGTAAAAGTGCTTGTGTTGCGGTCTCGCCTCGTATGTTCGGCCGCTCGGTGTCGTACTTCTCCCGCTACGTTTTCCCCCTGATCTTAATAGAAGTTTGTATTTTAGGGACAAAAGAGAAAACCAGGGAATTTATTAAGCTTAGGGCGGAGACGGACCACATGATCACTGGAGCAAAGCATTCGGCGGCTGTGGCATGGAGGTACAACAACATCTCATATTTTAAGTTCAGTTTTTCTGTGAAAACACGAAAGGAATAACCCGTTGTCCTCTTTTCTCTTCCTGTTTTTTTCTTCTTACATGTTTGTTAAGACTATTCTGGAGAAAATGGGCATCCAGGGGAAGGTGACCGCGATGACCAGCTTCTGGAGCTGATCAGGGAGGACATGAGGCTGCAGAGGGAGGCAGAGCAGCAGAGGGCACAGGACAGAAGGGAGAATTTTGACAGAAAAAATGGTTAATAAAGATTAAACATGTACATATAAAAGAAATATCTAAATAAAATCAGTTCTGTATTAAACAAAAGAATTTTATTTTGGTTTACAAATCTGCTGGGTCTTGAAAAGTCTTAAAAGGTGATAACTCGGTTTTGATCAAACTAAGACCTTTAGAAAGTATTAAAAACTATGATCACATCTTTGCTCAGGCTCAGCTTGTCTAAAGTATTTTCTCTGAATTAGCTCTCCAACAGTCAAGGAAATGGTTAAAAAGCTAAATAAAACTTCGAGCTCCATCGTTTAAAGTCCCTTCTCCCTTCTGCAGCGGTTCCACTGTTGCTAGGCGACGGAACGTTCGCCGAGGGAGAGGCGGGAATTCATGAAGGCTAGGCCTGTCCAAATTCACAGCCGTTAACGTCCGGTCAACTCGGCCGACGGAGGACCCAGCCCACGTCGGCCGAGTAGGCTGGGTCCTTCGAAGGATGCAGACCCTGAATTGAGACACGGCGATAGTTATTAGCTTATTTTTTTTCTAGTAAAATGTTTTATTCTTAATTTTTACATGATTTGTTTTTTTTTCCTAATGTTTTTATCAATAGTGGTTTTTATCTGGAAAGGTGCTTAATGAAAACCCCTTTCTTCTTCTTTTTGTGTCTAAAGTAGTAACTGTACAGCATTAGCCAAGCAGAGCTTTGGCTCTAACTGCTTTTTAAATGCAATAAACCAGTTTCACTTCTTTGCAGATGATATTCAGCTGTTTTTACTCATGAAAGTAGTTTTAACAACTCTGTCAGGGCAGCATCAACACATGGAAGGACTTAAACTTCCTAACTGAAACAGATCAATCCTCTGCTCGTCGTCTACAGGTGGTGAGAAAGGCTTCTGCTCGTCTCCCAGCAGGAATATAGAAAACATGGCCGTACACTGTAAGAAATGGAATGTTGAATTAACCTAACCAAGTTATGTCAACCGGTTCCACTGTTAAACGTAAACATATATTAGAACCAGTTCACTTAACTTGGTTAAGTAAATTTAATATTTCATTCCTAGAGAGAAACATTGCTGGTTTCAACCCACTGGCTTACTGGTTTTTAAAGGGGCATTATGGAAGTGTGACAGCCAAAACATGTATAGAAATAATAAATGTCTTCTTCATACATTCTCCTGCAATGCCCTGGTCCTGTAGAATGAGCCCTGGCATTTTTACTGTGACTACCTGTTTTTGTGTAAAATCACAGAAAAAGAGAGATGCTCGGGTCGAGCAGGCTGCTTCATGCGCGTTCACGCTCAGGCATCGCCCGTAGCATTTGCTATCCGTAGCTTTAGCAGCAGAGAGAGAGGCAGTGCCACTTTGTCGCTGTTCCTAACGCCTAGTGACAAAGCTAGCTACATTTCTGAGGACCCTTAGCTACTTTCTGTAGAACTTTCTTCTAGATATTTCCTGCTAATTAGCAACAAAATAGCCATTTTCGCTTCGAACCGTTCTTTGGTTTGACGTTGTTTCAGCTGTCATCAAGGATATAAAAGTTACAGATACTCTGAATATTACTAGAGTGTAGCTCACCTAGTATGACATCGGACTCTCATGCAGAAGACCTGGGTTTGATTCTGGGTGTGAAAATAGTTTATTTAGAGTCTCTTTTTTACATTAATGGTATATTTTTTTACAGTAAGATGCCCAAATTTTTATTTGAGACTCGCCGAACGGCATTGAATTCACAGATAAAAAAGATGTGGGTTCAACTTTCATTTTGGAACAATTTTTCAAGCAAGGGAAGGGAATGATCTGAGCATGCAGGAGGACTGACCCATCATAAACCTTTGTCGGCTGTGCTGAAGAGAAAGGTACAGAACCAAATTATTTAATTAATTAGCTGCAAGTTCTCCTGTCCTCTGTCCTCCGGGCCACACACACACACACACACACACACACACACACACACACACACACACACACACACACACACACACACACACACACACACACACACACACACACACACACACACACACACACACACACACACACACACGGGACTATCTCAGCTGTTATTTTCGTTAAGGAGTGTGCACGTACAGCATGCGCGCCTCGTGCACGAGCCTACAATTGAAGCTGCCGTTACGCTTTTGGCCTGAGGGGGCAATCGCGAGCATAAAAATTCAAAAGTCCGTAAAGTCCCTTTAAATATTCTAAATGGTCTGGATTAGTGACAGACCGATGCATCGGTTAGCTAAAATATCTGGCCGATATTTACCAATTTTTTTATATATCAGCATCAGCCATTGTGTCTATTAAGTAGAGCCCATTTAAAGTCTGCCACATCTGCAGGCAGCCTGGTGCCTGCCTTATTTAAACGTGTATTTATGTTCCTGAATAATTCAACCTAAAAAACATTATTGGCAACTCACATTTCTTTATATTCTGTATAATTAGTACTGAGTTAGTTTATTCATTTGCTTGATAGTTAAATGTTTGATTTTAATACTGAATAGAGAACAAAATTAAAATTCTGTGTTCAGAAACTGTTTACGGTTGTTATTAGTCACATTTTATTATATAAATAAGGTGAGAAATGTGTAGATATCTGCCATGAAAACCATCCCAAATAGCAATAGCACACATCGGCCATTGGCTGACCATGTCCTCTATAATATTGGCATCGGTATCGGCAACATAAAAATCCATATCTGTGAATCTCTAGTCTGGCTTAGGGTTAGGGTTATCCAGAACTCCTGGTTTTCTGCTAACGCAGAGTGGGTTTTGTTGTTTATTACTGCTGTGCAAATAAAATAAATATTAACATTGAGAAATAATTCCACTTTATGATCATTTCAAACAACAAAATCCACTCAGACTTTCCCAAAACCTGTTTTCACTAAGTAATACCCTCTACAGCTACGCCATCACAGTACTTCCTGTTTATGCTCTTGTCATCTTGAACAATAGAAAATGTTTATTAAAAAGAGATTTTTTGTTGGGTTTAGACAACTCCACAATCCCCCCCTTTTTTTTAACACTAAACACTAAAAACTGTGGATTTACATCGCCAAGGAAGGAATTAATCTTCTCAGCCCATCTGCTTTTTATGTCAGCCCATCTGCTTCCCTTCATTCCAAGCGTTCTCCTTCCTCCCTTGTCTTTTTATTGGCAGCTTTATTCCTCTCCTCAAAGTCCATCTTTATTTCTACCTGAAATCATTTTAATCTGATGTGAAAAGACAAAAATCTGTCTACGATTTTCCTTCTGGTGAAAGTTTTCCAGACATGCATGCATGAACGTGGCCCTGCACAGATTTACGGGAGATGGTTGAATTGGATTTCAGGACTGTGTCATCACCTGCGTTTCACACTGTGTGTGTATGTGTGTGTGTGTGTGTGTGTGTGCGCGTGTGTGCGTGTGTATGTGTGTGTGTGAAGAATGCAGGTTGATAGTTTTCTGTGCTTCTAAATCGAGCGTGTCGACCTGGAGATAAAGAGTTAAGCGGGAACCTGCTGACTTGTGAAAGTCATCTAACTGCATTCATATCGCAGTGACTTTTGGAGCATGAGAAACACCTGAAAGTTTGTTTTATTTGTGTGCAACAGGAGAAAGCAGAGAGGATTTCTTGTCACCGAGGTAAATTTCTGTGGATTAATTTGGAGTCTTACCTTGAAGGTTCGACAGGAGGGATTGAAGGCGTTTGTTCCACAAACAAACAAGGCGTCGTCATTTTGCTGCAGGAGGACTTTGATGAAATTGTGACACTCATCCTTCGGGGAACGCAGGTCAGGATAAAGAACAAAGACAGGAAGTCCACGGTGACATTTTAGCCTTTTTACTTTCACAAAAACACTTTTTTCTTGTCTTTGATTTTGAAGCACAACTCAAGTGAGAGGCATCTGTAACAAACAGTGACTTTTCACCACGGGACGTGTTCACGGCGTGTTTTAATGCACCATTTATTAGCTTCCTCAAGCAATATTAAAATAATAAATCTTTGTTGTTATATAATAAAAATCAATAATACAGCTAAGAAATATAAAGATTCCCATTGATGCAATCTATAAAATATGAGAGCAGAAGCTCAAATAAACTATAAATAATGCACTATTGCAGATTCAGGCTCTCACAGCTGGTGTGTGTGCGTGCGTGCGTGCGTGCGTGCGTGCGTGTGTGTGTGTGTGTGTGTGTGTGTGTGTGTGAACGATGTGAGGGTGCAGACTTCTCTTACCTTGTGCTTTCCTTTCATTCTGCAGGTGTCCACGTCTCCCTGTCTGGACTTCCATGTCATTTTCTGAAGAAAAGATTAAATTATTTGAAAGAGAAGCAGAAAAAAACTAAACGTTGAGGAGAAAATAGAATTTTAGCTCAATAACCCGTTCCTATAATGATCATGTACGCTAACGGATGCACCGATTCTGGTTTGAGAGCCAACCGATACATGTTTAGGCCAATTTTGAGTAATATCAAAGATCTATTAGTAAGAAAATACTTTTCATTCTTCAATTTCTGGGACTTTCTATGGTCTATATCAATCTCATCTTTCAAGAGGTTAAGGTGAAGTTAACCGTCTGAGATTCTCATTAATAATTTCTAGAGCACACAAGTGAAAAAAAAATACAAGATTACGGTGGAAAAGCTCAATTATTTCAGTAATTCATGTCAGACTGAGAGACCATCTAAAGGCTCAGGATCCCTTCGCACCTGTTTTAGATTCATTAGCTGATTACAGTGTGACACTGAGTCTAGAATATTGAACCGTTACACAATATTCTAACTGTCTGAGATTTTTAATGTGGGGTTTTCTTGAGCTGTAAGCCATGATCATCCCAATCCTAACAAATAAAGTCTTAAAATATCTGGCTTTGCATGTAGTGAGTCTGTCTCATTTATTAGTTTCACCTTTTAAGTTGAATTACTGAAATAACCGAATGTTTCCATAATATTCTCATTTTACCAGTTTCACATGTAGCATTTACTGAACTTAACTGGGAAAAACTGATGAAATAAGAAATATAGATATGTTTGAATGAAAAGCTAAACATTATATTTATCTTTTTCTATATTCTATAAGTGTTTGTTAGCCCTCAAGAAGATTAAATTCTGTTTTTAATTCATTTAAAATCAACGTTTTGATTTTAATTTTCTCATTATCTTTAAAATGATTAGTCTAGAAGTAAAAACGTCCAGCTGGGAGATCTGGTTTTGCTAGCATGAATTAGCACTTAAAGATACCAAATTGACTGATGACAAATAGATTTAGAATTGCTGAATTCTTCACGTGCATTGAATGATCTGAAAAATCAGATAGTTGAGTTTTATATTCTCTGATTATTAATTATTTGGTAACACTTTATAATAACTACATCTTATTTAGCCTTAATTACACATGAACAAACATGTAAGTAACTACTAACAAATAATTAATTAACAATGACTCTTACTTAATAAACAATTAACCAGTGCATTAATTAATGCTTTGTTTTAATGATTAGTCCCTTGTAAAAGCTGTTTACTCATTTCTTATTCATATGTAACAAACCATTAACAAAGAACCTGACTAACACATTAATTATTGCTTAACTTCTAGTGACTAGTTTCATGTAAAAGCTGTTTATTTATGGCTTATTTATACTTAACAAACCATGAACAAAGTTCTTATTAATCCCTTTTTGGTAACACTTTATAACTACATCTTATTTAGCCTTAATTACACATGAACAAACATGTAAGTAACTACTAACAAATAATTAACAATGGCTCTTACTTAATATAAACAAAGCATTAATTGATGCATTGGTTAATTATTTATTAAGTAATAGCCATTGTCAATTAATTATTTGTTAGTAGTTACTTAGATGCTTGTTCATGTGTAATTAAGGCTAAATAAGATGTAGTTATTATAAAGTGTTACCAATTATTTTTATTATTATTCGATTCCGATCGCCATCCATGTCTCCTCATTAAACCTGCTCTAACTGACCCAAGTTTTGCTTCGTTTGAGATGAAAAAATGAAACTCGGACTTTAGATCTGGACAGATTCTGCGTGAGAAGAAATTCCTCTTTATCTTACACACATTTATCAATCACTGCTACGTCTCACACACACACACACACACACACACACACACACACACACACACACACACCGCTCTGACTCCTTCACCGTGTGGCCTGAGGGTCAGCGTTGAGCCACAGGTTGAGACCGCCGCGAACCTGCCGCTGTTGTTAAGCGTGTTTGGAGCTCAGCCGCTGATTAAAGACCCTCAGTCATCAATCAATCATCGCCTCTCCCACCCGCCTTTCATCTGCAGCCTGCTCTCATTAGCCACCACTCGCCGGGCTTTGTCATTGAAGTGGATGAGGTGGAGGGACGGAGGGTGGTTGTATACAAGAGAATGGTCTTGTTTGAGTTGGGTTTGCATCCATTATGTTGGGGACAAGCGATACCAGACAGAAGTGGGTAGAATGGAGGGGAAAGTGGATTTATAACCAAAATCTTCAAGTAAAAATACCATAAAATTCTCATTTTTTTATGACGTTTCTTCCTGTTTCCCAGATTCTGTCCTGGTGAAACCGCCCTACTGATGAGCGTGGGCGACACAGACGCAGCTCGTTAACTGATTGATTGGATAATCCGCTCGGTGAGGTCATCGTGGCTCCCGTCGGTGAGCAGGTGGGTGTGCGAGAGTGCAGACAGGCGCAAACACACAAACATACTTTGAGCGAGTTTGTCAGGGTCATTCTGTCAATCACGGCGCGGCAAAGAGTCCTCAAGGAGCCTCACTCACCTTGCTGAAAAAAATCTCGTCCCCGTTGGCTGTCTCGGTGTCCACCGTGTAAATGTGATCCCTGTCAGCGATGAAGACACAGAAAGAGACAAAAGATGAGGAGATACGAGGTCAGACAGCAAAAGAAACTCCAAACAAACAAAAAAAAAACTCTGCGTCTTCCTTCTCCCGCTCCCCCCGCAGGCGGCCACTAAACAACATCAGAAAATGGGGCTTTGTGTAAACTTTGTTCAAACTTCAAAAAATTACAATAAACAAAAGGAGGCCAGAGCTATTTGCTCTGTCAGACAGAAACAGTCAACAAAGCTTCGGAGCGCCGCGGCGCAGGCGGGGGCACAAAAGCCTCTTTGTCCCAGAGAAAGGTCCCGATGGTGGGGAGGGGGGCTGAGACGGGAGGTGCCAAGTCACTCAGAGCTGTTCAGGTCAATTAAGTCTCCTGTTTGAGCCCCGGGAAATCTATACGAACAATCATTACTGCTCAGACAAGAAAACATATGTGTACTGGCCTGGAAATATAAAAGCTTCTCCTGAATTACGCAGTCCGGCCATAAAAGACCCAGCAGGGCATATGGAAGTTATAAACCTCCAGAAAGGTTACCCAGATCTCAGAGGGGCAGAACAGCATGCGGTTTGGGCGCAGACGTGGAGGTGAGGAGGAGAACGAGCACAAAGAAAGGCGGATTTGTCTCATTGTGAGTAAAAGAACCAACGGTGACCGTGCAACGTGATGTGAGCACTTTCATTTGGGGGAGATTAGCTGCTGAGCGTGTTTTTAATCAAAGTGGGTAACAGTGGCATCGTCAGACTCTCGGCTTAATTACGTTCCAGCTCCCCAACCTGCTCCAGACAGCCAGCCCGCCTCTCTCCATCATTAACTAAGCCCAATAAAGTCTTAGGAGTAGCAGCCACCTTCAAATAAATCTGCTTCTATCACTTTCTTGGGGGCCTCCAGGATAAAAATCCAGTCATCTTAATTATCATCCACAGAGAAATGTCCTAATTATTATTAAAGGGAAGTAAAAATAAATGTCAAAAATATCTCATCAAATATAAAATACATATCAGATATTTTTCTGACTGAATTTCTGTGAAAAATGTTCAAATAACTAATTTAGTAGGACATAATAAAGTTGATCGTAAACATTTTAAAAATTAAATAAGCTGCTTTTATGAAGGAAAATCCAAAAGACTTTAGAGGAAACATTAAAGATCTAAAAAAAAGAGATAAATGAAATTACTTTAAGGCAGTCTTTTATCTGACTCCTCTTTTATATTTATTTAAAAATTCAAGCCCGATGTTTTAAAAGACAAAAGTAAACCAAAAGCTATTAAAAATCAAAGGATTACTCCGTGGATTTGGGGTAATCCCTGGGGTTATTTCCCTGCCTGCAAGTTTAAAACAGCTCATGAGTAATCTGTAATTGGCTGCTCCATCCTTTTCAGTGGTGCAACCTTTCCAGCTTTTCTAGCAGGTCGTGTTTTGCGTCCTGCTCTGGCGCTGACGGTGTTTTTGGAGGGCCGCAGGGTTTTCTGGTTCCAGCAGAGATTAGAGGGAGCCAAGCGATGAGGCGTCCCTCAAACATCCTGACTGCAGAATGAGGAGGACAATGGAGCGGCTGTGTCCGTGTCAACACCAGCTCTCCAAACATACACATGTGCACAAACGTCCCCCCCTTCCCCCAGGAGCTCCTCGTTTTACCCCATGACCACAGACACCCCCTCGTGCACCCTTTCACCCCTTCACCGCTGCACCTGAACTCATATTGAGACACTTTCTCTCTTCGCCCCGCTGCATGGGTCACATCTGTACAGTATAAAGGAACCCAAGGCAGAGGTTTCAAAGTCCCACATTAGTGAGGGAGATTATACAGATGTGGATTCCACTGCTGGTGGGGAAAAAATGGCCACTGAAACTGACTGAATTAGAAATATAAAAATTTTTACTGAAGATTCATTTGAAAGTTAGACGTGTGTTTTGATTTATGGTTCAACAGAACCATTTACCGTTAAAGAATCAGCTGCCGGCAATTTTACCGTAAAGTAAACATCCTTTTTTACAGTGTAAAGAGAAAACTAAAGCTCAAAAACCTTAAAGGTGCAATAGCAAATCTTCCAAATAAGCTAGCCTTTAAACACAAACACAGACATGGAACTCCCACCGCTCCCATCCAGTACCATCCTTAGGACGCGTCCCCCTGTTCCCAGAACCAGCATTCCCACAGGAAACAGGAGAGCGCTAAACAACAGATAACGTTTTTCACTTCCAAATGTATTTTGTTGTCTGTGGCTTTAAACTGTTTCTCCTTCTCTGATTTTGTGGAGCCACGAGCCTCTCACACCAGTAGTTTTGCTGCTCAACGCACAAGCGCGCAATGACTGTAGGACCCAGGTAAAAGCAGTGGTTCAGCAAGACAGACAACCGGATTCGGACCGAGCCGTGTTTTGAGACAAAACCGCTTCGTTAAGTTTTGGTTTTATTTTTCAGTCTCAACAACTATGTTAGAATGTTGTTAAGAGGCATGAAAATATGTGTTCAGCTAGCTTGTTTTACAGATTTGCTTTTGCAGCTTTAACTTAACCCTTTAAGCGCCAAAGTCGCAATAGTGCGGCAAGCGTCATTGCTGAATTTAACGAGCCATCTCTACGAATGTGATCCCTCGTGAAGTTACTACTTTAGACCAGAAGATAGTGGAGATGTGAAACTTCAGGTTGAGCAAAACTTAAGGGTGTGTTTAGCGATGGGTACCGAATTTGGTACTTTTTTAAGGTACCGACCGAATTCTATAGTACCGACTGAGCACCGATTCACGTCATTTGAAACGGTGCCTCGTTTCGGTACCCGTCCTTCACAACGAGAACTTGCCTAGACAGCTGCGCAAGAGCGTTATGTCGTTGGTCGCTGCAAGCGAGTTGTAAACAGAGCAGCATGGTAGAAAGAACGCACGCTAAAGCTTGGGTCCACTTCACTAAATGTGATGGGTAACTGGGTGATGATGAAACCAGCGACAACGATCTAAGTGAGACATCCTCATCTTAATCTGCTCCGGTAGGTAATTAAAATGTTTAAGATAACGTTAGCTTGATATGTTAGCTTCCATTCCGCTAATGGTGCATTCGCTTTCTCCTCGGAACTCCGATTTTCCGGCTGGAAGAACATGAACGCGCTCTAAAGTTTGGCTTCACTTTACTAAATGCGACGGGTGATTGGGTGAAGATGAAACCAGCGACAACGATCTAAGTGTGAGGCATCATCGTTTTAATCTGCTCCAGCAGCTAAATAAACTGTTTAAGATAACGTTAGCTTGATATGTTAGCTTCCATTGCCACCATTGTTATCAGCTAATGGTGCGTTCGCTTTCTCCTCGGAAATTCTAACTTCCCAGTAGGAAAAATCAAATGAAAAAGGACGGCAAAAGGAATGAAGATACACTGTAAATTTAGTTCACAGTAAAGATGTTTGCTTCAGTTTAATTATCAGCTTATAAAACTACAAGGACGATGTTAAAATACAAACAGTTGTATGTTATTTATCGTGATATTTATCAAATATGGTTATATATATTGAGAAAAATATAAATTCTATTATAAAGGAGAATTAAAATATTAAACACTCAAAAGTATCTAAAATTGGTACCGTTAAGTACCGGTATCGTTTCCTAGGTACCGGGAATTAGTACCGAATCGATTCAAATGTCAAAGGTACCCATCCCTAGTTGTGTGTTTGATTGATTTGTTTTGTTTTTGTCATGGTTTTTTTTTTACTTTTTGATGAACTTTTATCTTATATTTAGCATTATAGGAAACTTTAGTTTGTTTTGGCTTGTTAAGCACTTTGGTCAGCTTTTATGCTGCTTTAAAGAGCTATATACATAAAGATGGCTTGACCTGACTAAAGACAAAACAGCTCAAACATTCACTGGTTATGTATTTTTAACAGAATAGATCATCGCATTCTCAGACATGACAAATGCAGCAGGGAGAAAATCTGTGGCACTTTAGCCTTAAAAAGTAAAATGTTAAAAGAAAACTTCTCATGGATGTTTTAAATGCTGTTTAACAGTTAGCAGCTTGGCTTCTCCACTCTGAAAACTTCAAGGCTGGAACATCAACAGAGAGGCCTTGTTTTCAAACTGTGGCAAATTAAACAGAGAGAAGTGGCTGCGTGAAGGTGGGGCATCAATTTAAAAACCCTTCAGTTTGTTTAAGAAAATGTCAAAAATGATGTTAAACACAGCATATAATTAGACTTACAGTCATTTCTCTGGTGTCTGCATAACCCTACAAATAGCAAACATCCAACAGAGCGACTTCTAATGAGATGTGGACGTTATTTTGGGGAGTTTTTGTGAGTCTGCACACCGTAAAGAAAAAATAAACACTTTTTTTAACAGTAACTTTAGAGTGCATTTCAAGATTATTCTTCCCTGCTGAGCGCAGTTTAGACTAAACAAGCTGCTGTGAGTAACAGTCATGTTCAGGCATAAAAGATGTCCTATTTCATTTCTGCAACAGCTTGTTCTGATTTGTGCTGAACCGTGCACTAAAAACAATAATCTGTTAGAATTGTTCTGGAAAAAAAACACATTTATGTAACTGATGTTTATTTATGTTTCTGCTGTCTTGTTGAATTGTTTTATTTGAAATATAAAATGCACGTGCCTTTCAAAAACCATCCAGTAACTAGTCTTTTTTTTTTTTTTTTTTTTGGTAAATTGTAATTGTTGATTTGGAAAAGGGTAGAATACCTTTTCTGGGTCAGGGATGAGAACCTTTCCCAAGGGGAGGAGTTTAAGTAAGTCGGGGTCTTGTTCACGAGTGAGGGAAAGCTGGAGCGAGAGAGCGACAGGCAGATTGAAGGCAGGCGTTGTACCGGTCGGTGGTGGTGAAGAGAGCTGAGTCAGAAGGCGAAGCTCTCGATTTACCGGTATATCCTACCCTCACCTATGGTCATGAGCTTTGGGTAGTGACCGAGAGAAGGAGATGGCTGATACAAGCGGCCGAAATGAGCTTTCTCCGCAGGGTGGCTGGAGCTCCCTTAGAAATAGGGTGAGAAGCTCGGTC